TCCCAACCTTCTGGGTGCCCTGCATAGTTAAGTATACAGCAATCTGAGTAAGAGAAAAGATGGTCTGACTCTTAAGTAGGCATGGTAATTGAGTGAACACATATCGAGGTAGAAGAGAACAGACATCTCAGATTCTGCATTCCTGCAGAAGGCAATGCTTTACTAGAACCAAAGCAACTTAAAACACCTAACTAGGCAACTAGCTATTGAAGGAATGAGTCTCTGTGTCCCATAGGCATAGAAGATATGTTAGATATGTTTGTGTAGATTGGTTTTTGTTTTGAATTGAGCTCTTGTTAAAATTTTATTTCCTCCTCCACGATCCCATAAAACCAAGCACATATCTTTAATATCGTACTAAAAACACCACCTGCAACTGGCTTATTTGATGTTCATCTGTCTACCCTACTACGCTGTGAGATCCCTAAATGTATTTATCTTTGTATCCCAAAACCTAGCACAAGGTTTAGCGCATATTAAATATTAATTCTGCTTATTTTTAAAATATATGGATGAAAAAATGACCATGGTAAGAGACACATTAATTACCCCATTATCTCATTCCTCCTAAGGAGAACAAGAATAATAATATTAGGCATAGGGAATATCTCATCCTCTTATGTAACTCCACCTTATTATCCAATGCTCACAGATGCACTGAATATCAGACAGAGGGCGCACGAGAGCAAACATTTCCTACATGACCCAACTCGCTAGAAAAATGCCTCAGTGGTGGTGAAGGAGTTGCCTAAACTTGAACAAAATCCTTGTGATCCCTAATCTCTCAGAAGAGATTAACTGCCTTTCTTATCAAATGTTAAAGTTCTTGTTAGTGCCAGTTGGATTCACTTCAGATTTTATTTTGGCAGGGCCTAAACTAACAGGCAGCTAGAATTTTATTAAGAAGTTATCAATGTAACTCCTTGTGTGACTGTGTTATATAATATATATCCCCAAGTCACTGGGCTCAATTAATTCTCGTCATTCATTCATGAGCTAAATATGCCACTTCTCTCTAAGGTGTCTGACTTAAATTCATGATCGCTGTCCAAGCATGTGTGGCTCTTAGAAGCTAAAACATCATACTCAAGACTGGGGAATTCAAGGAGTAATGTGTTCCAAGTCAACTTTGTATCCATTTTTTAAATTTTTTTTTAATGAGGCCCAGAGGGGAGTGATGAGAAAGAATAGAAATAAGGATCTGACACATGCACAAGTGCTTCTGAAGTCACTGCGTTTTAATTCTGGTATTTCATGTTCTACTCTCAGGTCTTTGAACAGTAGAAAGAGTCCAGGTATGGGAATGTCAGAAAGAACACAGAGCTGAATATCAGGAACCTGGGTCCTACTCTCAGCTCTGCTGACAACTAAGGTAAGTAAACATGACTAGGTCTCCATTTATAATTCTGTAAATTGAAAATAGTGGAATAGGTAATATTTATAGTTCCTGCAACATTCAAATTATAAGAACTCCATGCCTTACTTAACAGAACTCCAAACTATTTTGAACTTCCATTTTCAGTCGCAGTCACTAAAACTATTACTTGGTATAACAATGACAAATCAATCTGGATGACTATTCTTTGCCTCCAGTCTTGTACTTCCTGTTGACTTTGGATAAAGGAATTCTTTTCCTTTGCTATGTGGTAACTTTTTGGCTTAGATACTGGTTTCAGGATATGGAACTACTGTGACATCCCTATGGAGGCTGGTTGTAGTGGTCACATGGCTTCGTCCACATGGTCCTCAGGATAAATTCAGTAATTTAAAGTAGTCCCAGAAAATTCAGATTCCCCGTATATTGGAAGATTTCCTTTTCATGGATAGAAAGATACTCAATGTTTTGCGATTAAGAGGAGTCATTTCCTTCCTGATAACCTGGCTTGATAATCTCAAAACTTCTAACTGTCCCCACTTGTTCATTTCTTTTTCCCTGTCTCTGCTCAGTGGTCACAGGGATGTTAAAGATGTACCCTAGGTGGCATAGAATAAGGGAAGGAAATTAACATTTATGGAGTACCTCCGAACATGAATTTCACCCACCACAGAGGGGTGAAAAGCCTGATTTGGGCCCTGTCCCCATTCCCCTTCCCCTCCATGTGTGATCCCGTATCCTGAGCACTTAGGATGGAGGACTCTGCTCTGGCTGAAAGAACCCTAAGCTCATTTCCCCAGAAGAAACCATCATGAAGTTGTATCTGATTGGGTGACACCTTCCTAGGCAGAGAGGTGATCTCTGAGCTCAGCCAAAGAGGAGAGCTGGTGAGAACAATGCCCAAGGCCAGTTCATGTTGCTGTTTCCTGATTTTCATTGATACTCCATCTCAAAGTTTTGTGCCAAGGCTCTCAACGGCAATTGGAAGGTGGATAATCTGGCTGCATTCTGTTCCTGTGTGTAAAGAGCTAGAGCCGATCCCTTTGAGCACTTAAGTACTTAGTCCTATAGTCCTCATCAAACACTTATAAAGTACAGTCATTATATCCATTTTACAGATCAGGAAACTGAGGCTCAGAGAAAGAGTTTACGTCCAAAGGAGCAAGAAATAAAATTCATTTTCTCATTGTGTCATGCAATTTCCCAAAATAACCTGCTCTAATTCAAGAGATTCCTACTTTTCTATGAAGCAAAAGATGATCAGAAAGTACCAGCCCCCGAGAACAAAGGACAGAAGTGACAATAGCCAATGCTGAATGACAAGTCTGAATCAGTCCTTGAATTTATTTAAATCCATATGGGAGATATACTTAATAATCTTCAGAAGAATGAAAATCATATTTGGAAGAATGAAAATTTGAAGTTGAATTAACTTTTATCCTGAAGGTGATACTGGCTGTTTGATAAAACTTTCCCTACCCTATCAATATTTGGGAAGGTCTAATCTGATTCTTCTATAGGTGTGTCTTTCCAAAACTAGCTGGCTATTTCAGTGGTTGGCGTGCTAGAGCCAGTTCACACTGGCTCTGGTGAACTGCTTGTACCTATCTATTTCCAATTCTGGTAGCTTGAAATAGGCCATAGTGGGAGTACTGACACCATGGAAGTCAGTCAGTAAACTAAACAAATCAGCATGCTCCCTCCTTTTTCCCCCTTCCTGAGAGCTGGTTATTAAACATTTATCCTTACATCTTAGACTATTGGTCTTTTTTTTTTTTAGACTATTGGTCTTAATCATAGATATCTGGTAATCTGACAGCATCAGTAACACTGAATATGTCCAAGCCAGGCTAGTTTTCTTAGAAGTATGATTCTATGTCATGACATCAGTATAACTGAAAACTGGCACAGAGGATATAGTGTGCAAAATGTTCCAGACTATTTTTTGTTGTTGTTGTTGTTGTTTTTGTTCCAGACTATTAACTCACTGTAAGCATAGGGTTTCTCAGAAACTTTCAAGAGAACTCCTGTAAACTCCTTCCAGATCCTCGGGGGAAGCCAGGAATAATTATTCTCCTGAGAATATTACAGAAGAAAAAAGAGGAGGAAAGGAAGACACATTCATCAAGAGAACCCATTAAAATGTTCTCCAAAAATATCTTTAATATTTCATGTGAAATCTGAGCATAGGCAATTTTTTTTTGTATAAATAAAAAGGTAGAATCAGGCTAAAATGTCAGAGGAGAAATGAACTTTAACAGACACACTGAAGATTAGGAAATGTGAAGGAGGGGGTTGATCTGGGATCTTGCATGGCCACTTCTCTTTGGATTTTCATGTTCCAGCTCAAAAAAACATAGCTACAATACTTAACATACGGCTGATGGGAGGAAGGGTAAATAAAATGGTATACTCATTTCGGAAAGATGGCAGTTTTTAACATTTATAAATATTTTACCCAAGGGTAATAAAAGCTGTATGTATGCACAAAGCAGCTTTATTCCTAACAGTCCCAAACTAGAACTATCCAGTAATAGGACATTTGTAATATATTCACATATTGGAAGAATGGATTCAGTATTTAAAATAAATGAATTCTGCAATAATACGGTGTGTCTCAAAAAGTGGAGCAGGGACGCCTGGGTGGCTCAGCAGTTGAGCCTCTGCCTTTGGCTCTGTGTGTGACCCTGGAGTCCCAGGATTGAGACCCACACCCGGCTTTCTGCATGGAGCCTGCTTCTCCCCCGCTGCCTGTGTCTCTACCTCTCTCTCTGTGTCTCTCTGAGTAAATAAATAAAATCTTAAAAAAAAAAAAAGAGTTGTGGAGTAAAAGAAGTAGAAACAATATGCACTTTATTTTTTAAAAATATTTTATTTATTTATTCATGAGAGACAGACAGAGAGAGAGAGAGAGAGAGAGAGAAAGAAAGAGAGAGAGGCAAAGACACAGGCAGAGGGAGAAGCAGGCTCCACGCAGGGAGCCGGATGTGGGACTCAATCCCAGGCACTAAACCGCTGAGCCACCCGGCTGCCCCAATATGTTCTTTATTATTCCATTTGGATGAGATTCAAGAACAGCCAAAACTAACCTCTGGCGATCGGAAGCGGTTGCCCCTGCCTGGTGTTGGAAGGATGGGCTGGGAAGGGGAATGAGAGAATGTGCTGGGGTGCTGCAAGGGTTCTAATACTTGATTGCAATGGTGCTGTGCACTTAAGATACATGATGAGTCTTTTATTAAATGTAAATTAAATCTCCACCGAAATAGGCACATATGTATAACTGTAAACAAATACACGTACCTAAATTTCTAATCTAATTAAGGGATCAATTGCAAGGACACAGGCTCCCCGCAGCGCACTGAATTTCACATTGTCTCTCTGCCCTCGGAATACTTGGACGTCGCGCTTTCCAAAGGAGGACTCAGGCTTCAGGGTGATGCTGCAAGCTGGAACCTTGTGCAATCACCCCCAGGTCACTTCCCTCTAGCTCGCTGACTTCCCATTCCTGACACAACGCCCCATCCAGTCATCCGCGCCCAGGACAGGAGAAAGTTGGGGAGGCAGGTTCAACCTGGCGGGGAATTCCTCTCCCCCGTACGCCTCCCACCCCCGGGCTGCGGCGGGTCACAGCCTGTGGGGCATGAATCAGCCTGGCGCGCTCGGCACCGGCACGCTCCGCCCCGTCCGGGGTCGGCGGACGCTCACCCTACATAAAGCAGGCACCCAGCGCGTCGGCACCCAGGCTGCCCGGAGGCCGGACTCCGCGCACCCTCTTCCCGCCGGCACATCCCAGGAACGCCCCCCCGGAGGGCCGCGCAGACCCGACCGCATGGACCCCGCGGGCCCCTTCGGGGTGTTGCTGCTGCCGCTGCTCCTGATGGGGACCGCGCTGGGCGACGGTGGTGCGGGCGCGCCAGGTATCGGCGGGGTCGGGGCCCCCGTCTCAGGGGCGCGGGGGGTCCCCTGCGCCCGCTGCCTGCGCCCCGCTCTCCCGGGGCCCCCGTGGCACAGGGCGTCCAGGAGCCGCGGGAAGGGACCCCCGGGCCGGAGCTTGTACTCTCCCCCCGCGACCCCCCTGGGCTGAGGCCCCCGGGGAGCAGCTGGCTTCCCGGAGACAGGCGGCCGCCCTCCCGTCCCTCAGGCTCTGCCTCTGGTCCTGCAGGAGGAAACAGCGCGGAGACCTGCCTCCTGCCGCCCGACGTGGGGCCCTGCCGGGCCCTGATCCCCAGTTACTACTACGACAGGTACACGCAGAGCTGCCTCCCCTTCACCTATGGGGGCTGCCGGGGCAACGCCAACAACTTCGAAACGTGGGAGGCCTGCGATGAGGCTTGCTGGAGGATTGAGAGTAAGTTGCGGCGGGCAAGCTCCGGGCTCTTGCGCGCCCCTTGCGCAGAAGGGCTGCTCGTAAACCCCATTTCCCAGATCCCGTTTTCTGCAGTGAGCTTTAGCCTGCATCCTTCCCAGACATTAAGTAAGGCTCACTCATTATTTCCAGAAAGTACTCACAAGTTGACAGGGGCTAACGAATCTCTCGCCTAAGTGGCCTTCATCATAATTCAGAGGGTCTGTGCAGGTTCAGGGCAAGGGTTCGCTGTAGGGCACAGTACTGCAGGGGGTACATAGTGTGTTAGGTGCTGCCCAAGTACTTTTCTTTATCATTAGTTCTGAGCTGATGGTTTTTGTGCCTCCTTGAGAGCACCGTTTCCTCAGTGCCCATTATCCGTCGATCTGAAATACTGTCAGCGGATTTTATTGTTAAAGTGTGGTTTAGCTTAACCTTCACTTTAACTTTTGTCCCGATGCCCAAACATGTTTTGGGTTAGTAGAGGGATATAGTGGAGATTCATGATCATGGTTTTTATTTCATTTAAATCGTATTTACTGTATCTGTTGAGGCCAGTAAAAAGACATGAGACTCTGCCATTCAAGGAGCTAAGCCAAGGGAAAATGTGTATTCCCGTGAGTAAGTTTGATTAACTTCACATGTAGAAAAATGAGGAGACCCCGAGAGAACAGAGAGTTTCCACTGTATCTGGCTGACTCAGGTCTGGAGCCACTATTTAAAAAAGAGCTAAATAACTGGATTAATGAAAAGTCTTTTGGGGGATTTACTATCCCAGGACAAAATGTGATACTCTTATCTCCCCAGTTGTTTCTGGAAAATACAGTAGTTTTGAAGTAATACTAAGAAAGCTAATTTTTTTTTAAATTTTATAAATTAATTTTTATTGGTGTTCAATTTACCAACATACAGAATAACACCCAGTGCTCATCCCGTCAAGTGTACCCCTCAGTGCCTGTCACCCATTCACCCCCACCCCCCGCCCTCCTTCCCCTCCACCACCCCTAGTTCATTTCCCAGAGTTAGAAGTCTTTATGTTCTGTCTCCCTTTCTGATATTTCTCACACATTTCTTCTCCCTTCCCTTATATTCCCTTTCACTATTATTCATATTCCCCAAATGAATGAGAACATACACTGTTTGTCCTTCTCCGGTTACTGTGGCCAAGTTCAAAAAGGGTGTTGCCTGAGTTCTCCTCTGGGATTTTGATGGAATCTTGTCTCACATTTAGATCTTTCATCTATTTTGAGTTTATCTTTGTGTATGGTGCAAGAGGGTGGTCCAGTTTCATTCTTCTGCATGTGGATGTCCAATTTTCCCAGCACCATTTATTGAAGAGACTGTCTTTCTTCTAGTGGATCGTCTTTCCTCCTTTATCGTATATTAGTTGACCATAAAGTTCAGGGTCCACTTCTGGGTTCTCTGTTCTGTTCCATTGATCTATATGTCTGTTTTTGTGCCAGTACCACACTGTCTTGATGAACACAAGAGAAAGCTAATTTTTGACTGACATTGTTTTATGCCCTCCTTTTTCTAGAAGTTCCCAAAATTTGCAGGTTGGAAGTCAATGAGGAGCGGTGTGGAGAGAAGAAAGAGGAGTATTTCTTCAATCTAACATCCATGACATGTGAAAAATTCCTATCTGGCGGTTGTCACAGCAATGAGAACAGGTTCACGGATGAGGCTACTTGTATGAACTTCTGTGCACCAAAGAAAGGTAAGTACTATTTTTTGTGGGGCTTCTATTTCATTTCTTTAAGATTTTAGGATGAAAAAAAGTCAATAATTTTATGTGTAATTGACATGGCTTGTGTTCCCGTGATTTCACATATAGGAGGATTCAATCTTAACACTATTGCCCTGTGAGGGAGTGTTATTATTCCCATGTTACATCTGAGCATACAGGCTACCAGAAGTTAATGACTTGCCAAATTCTCAGGGCTGGAAAGTCATAAAGCCACGTATGATTTAAGTTTCTGCTTCCTGTTCTAAATGGTTTCTTCAGAACTATTTCTCATCTACTCAATTTACACACAAAAATTACAGTATTCTGGGGGTGCATGGGTGCCTCAGTCGGTTAAGTATCCGACTCTTGATTTAGGCTCAGCTCGTGATCTCTGGGGTTCTGGGATTGAGCTTCAAGGTGGCCTCCATGCCCAGCATGGAGATTGATATTCTCTTTCTCCCTCTCCCTCTGCCCTCCCCCCTCTGCTTGCTCTCTCTCTTTCTCTCTCAAATAAAAAACAAAATCTTAAAAAAAAAATCACAGTATTCTGAATGCCATGACCTCAGGTTTGTATGGAATCACTTGTGTACAGATGTTAAGATGTGAATCTTGAAAATTTCTCTCTAAAGTTTTTGGTTAGATTTCTACAACTTTTAGTAATTATAAACTGCAGGACAAAGAGATCTCTATTCTTCTCTTTTCTGCTCTGATTTCTTTCCCCACATCCCCACACCCTCAGTCCCTGAAATGATACGTTACTTGGGCAATATTTTTGCAGAGAGACATAATACAGGCATTTTCCCTAGGCATATTAGAGACACATACATACATCAAGAAATAAGGAAAATCTTAAACAAGGAATCTTGCTTTGGCAGCGACTTGAGGAAGCTCTGTATGTACCTCTGTGGTCAACATGCAAAATCTTGAGTTAAGGAGGAGGTGGTTGTTGCTGGTGTTTCCTTAAATTTTTTTTGTATAAAGGTAAATGTCCTAGTGGCGACTTGGAATTTAGATACATGTATCCTTAAATAATGATGGAAGGAGAGCTGATAAAAACATTTAAAATAAACCTACCAACAAGTTTACTGAAGCATGTCATATACCAACCCTTGATACATTGCCGATTTCTGCCTGACCATATCTGATTTTGGGTTTAATTTATTTACACATTCGAATGATACAAGGACATAGCTTCAGAAGAAATTGTCTCCAGTTTATAAAAATTTTAGAATCAGCAAACTATGGCATGTAAGCTTTCTTGAGAATCGAGGCACACTTTTTAAATGGTTTAGTATGATATTTAGAATTCAGAATGAAGCTTCACTGGGATTAGATTTTCTTCAGTCAGTTCAGTAATCATCACAGTTTATTAATTTTGGTATTTATTGCATTTCTAATTTTATTTTCTTTTTCATAAAGGTCCATCGTTTTGCTACAGTCCAAAAGATGAGGGACTGTGCTCTGCTAATGTGACTCGCTACTATTTTAATCCCAGACATAGAACCTGTGAGGCCTTTGCCTATACTGGCTGTGGAGGGAATGACAATAACTTTGTTAGCATGAAGGACTGCAAAAATGTTTGTGTAAAAGGTAGTGGATTTTCTCATATTCCATTTTTAAACTAATTTTATAAAGAATTCATAAGCACAATTATATTTTATGTATCCATTTTCCTAATAGCAGATTACCATTTCTAGACTACTTGTACATGAATAGCACTTTAGTACTGAACTGTTTTATTTAATGCTTCTACTGACTAGCTACAACAGACTGTAGCTGTATCCTTGCATTTTAAAGGTAGAAAGTCATTAACTTGAGGGGACAGTGAGTAAAACTGACTTTATGATCATTAAAAATTGTTGAGGTGAGTTTGTAAGCATATTGGAAATGTTGATTTAAAGGGAGTCTATAGACTGGAGATATACTTATTTTTATTTTGTTGACTTTAAGCTTTGAAGAAGGAAAGGAATAAGAAGATGACAAAGCTTTTCTTGGTGAATAGAAGGCTGAAAAATTGGAAGAAGCAATCTTAACTTTTTCCCCTATATGTCATCTTGTGAATGCTATCGCCTCTATGATTAGATCTGAAGAATAATATGGCAACATGGGTAAATAAATCATTAATGATTTATTCACCAGTTTTTATTGCTACAGGTTACTTTTTTGTGTATTTTTATACATAACTAGCTGCTATTCAAATGTGAATCTACTATTTTTAATTTACTGTTCACCTATGTTTTATGAAGTTGAATTCTTGCTGTGCATAAAGGTATACAAGCAAATATGACTCACCCAGTTCTTGGGGTTGCTTTTCCTGACTTCAGAAGGTGATAATAACTGAAAAGCATAAGACAATATAATCATGTTCTCTTAACACATGATCATAAAAAGGACCAGCAAACACATTTCATTTTGCATATAAACGGTTGGATTATATTTTAGGTCCAAGGACCTAAAACTTGCAGATTTACCAACACTTTAGAAAATATTACAAGTGCTATTATGCAGACATGACTAACTTCTGTTTGTACTGTGTCATTTGGAAGATAATAAACTATATTTTTTGAATAAAAAGTTAGTAAATTTATTAAAACCAGAAATGCTTTATTCTGGGGATAAGATTCTTTTTCTTTATCTACTTTTCCACCCATGTATCCCCACTCACATGTATGTATTTGTTTATATATATAGATCTTACATTACTTTGTAAGATATAATAGATTGGAGGCCACTAAAATTGTTAAAATTTTTGAAGTGTTCAAGGCATTTATTTATATTACACCAGAGAGCATGCATGAATTTAATAATATAAATTCCACTACTGAATTATTCTTGATAAAATGATCATTCCAGTTAAATGGTTTTCTTCTCTTTAATAAAAATACTTTTTAAAATTCCTACATTTTCATGGCAAGATTAATATGTTTAAAAGTATGCCTCCAATCTAGCAAAATTTTAAGTGCATTGCCCTTTGCTTGAGCAATCCCTCTTTTCAAAATCTATCCTAAAGGCATGGTGACAAAAATACAAAATGGTATATCCCTGAGGACATTCACTGATACATTATTTGGAACAACTAGAAACAAATCCTCAATAGGGAATTGGTTGAAGATAATCATCAGTAGGAGAATTGGTTGAAGAAATGGATGAAAAACGAGCAAAATATCTATATATGGATATCATCTGATCTTCGGAATAGGTTTTTAAAAACAGGGTCTAGGGCAGCTCGGGTGAGCTCAGCGGTTTAGCGCCACCTTCAGTCCAGGGCATGATCCTGGAGACCTAGGATCAAGTCCCATGTCAGGCTCCCTGCATGGAGCCTGCTTCTCCCTCTGCCTGTGTTTCTGCCTCTCTCTCTCTCTCAATCTGTCTCTATGAATAAATAAATAAAATAAAATAAAATAAAAAACAGGGTCTAGAACATGAATAAACACACATCACAAAGGACATAAAGATATTAAAAATAGTTACCTATCGCAGGACAGAGGCCTAACAATACAAAGAATATGACTATTTCTGGTGACTTTCAAAGCCAATATTTTGACTATCTTTTAACAGATGTAATCTAAGGCTCAAATAAATTTTGAAGAAATCTGAAAATGCGTTTAGTAGGTTTTTTTTTTTAAAGATTTTATTTATTTATTTGAGAGAGAGAGAGAAGACGGAAAGTGAGAAGGAGTAGCAGACTCCCCACTGAGCTGGGAGCCCTACGTGGGCTTGATGCCAGGAAATTGAATCATGACCTTGGCCAAAGGCAGACACTTAACCAACTGAGCCACCCTGTTGCCCCTGCATTTGGTACACTTATTAGTAATATTGATATTGTTATTTTTGAACCTATCATATATAGAGTGCTACATTATACTATATATTCTGTAAGAAAATATAAGAATTTATATCTCTTTAGAAGTCAAGATTTTCAGTGTTAAGAGAAAAAATATAAATACAAAATTAAGAAATTTAGAAAAAAACCTTTAACTCTTAAATTGGGATATAAATATTAGCATGAACTCAAAATTTTCTCTTATAAAAAAAAAAAAAAGGAATTTCCACCTGCCCATTGAAAAGTCCTTGAAGCAATGACAAACTAGTAGCAGTAAGTATACCTCGCATTCAGATTGTGGTCTGTAAATATGATTTCTCATTAAAAGGAAACAGGGCTCTTCAGAGAAATCATTGAATCCAGGTCTGAGACAATAGATAAGAAATAGATAAGATGAACCTGGGCCATCTTATACCAGATAGCAAGGAAGCTATTAAAGACTAATGAATTATGTCACAAAAATAGGAGAGTAACAGTAAAGGCTTTTCAGCGATCTAAAATGAGGCAATATGAACATCAAAACAAATAATAACAATATAAATAAATATATAAGAATGAATACGAAACAAGTAAATAATTACACACACATGTTGATCACTTTTGGAGGTTCCTAGGGCACTCTCTCATTCCTTTGAAAAATGATAAATTAACAGAAAGAATAAAGCATTTATCCCTTTTTGCTTATCCTTACAATTATACCAAGAAATGAAGTAATGTATGAAAGTTATTCACAGAAGAATCTCACCTAATACACACATGAAAATGTTAGAAGATACCTCTAAGGAAAGTATACATCTGGGTAATGATCATCTATGGAGGCTGAAGCCATGGAATGAATGGTTGATGGAGGAATTAGGCTTATGTCTTTGAATCCATGGATAATTTTAACATTACTAAAAATGTACCAGAAGACATTATTTGCTTCTTGATATGACGCAATAAGTAGTGCATACCTCCTCCCCATGAAGGAATCTTGCAGGAAGAAAAAAAAAATTCAACCTCAAGTTAATCAAACCTCTAAATCTCACTATCATATCACCAGATCAGGAGACAACATTGGGGATAAAGGTACAAGTTACAAGAATGCAGGAAAGGTCAGTCAGCCAAATCCATAATGTTAGCTGCTGTATAGGGCAAACCGCTTAGGTTCTCCAAGAAACCAATGAAATTTTTTAAAGGAATGGGGGGAGGAGGCAGTGATTTTATAGCTTTTACAGAGGTTGTAACAAAAAGCAGCATGTCATTAAGAGGTTTTGGCTGAATAAGGCCTGTGTTTGTGACTACTTTTGGTAGTTTTTGAGAATGATTATTGCAGAAGGATTTTCTGTATTCTGGGATTGTCTGGTATGTGATCCAGAGCCTTTGGGAATTCTGGGGGTTCCTAGTGCTACAGGAAAGCTTGATTTGGTGGCTGCTGCCTTTAACTCCCCTGCAGCCAAAAGCCCTCAGGAGACCGCTCAGCCTACATTCAGCCTCCAGCTGCAGCTCTCTGTTCAGGTTGGGCAAGAATTAGATCCTTTAGAAAACAATTTTCTAATCCCCCAAACCTCTGCCATTTTATTTTAATGAAGAAATGTATAAAGCTGTCATAGGTCATCCTACAGTCTAAGGGAAATTCCTTCTTGCCACAATCAGCCTGAAGACAAGTCACTGCTGTGGTTTCACCAGACAGACTGATTAAAAGGAATGTCTCATTCGGGGACACAAAAAGACACAAAAAAGAATGGGTTGGCTTTTAATAACATAGTCTTTTATTGAAAATAAATTATTCTGGATCACCACTCGCCCATTCCTCCTCTATGCATACACACCGTCACATGTTTAACCATAGAAACTGCAATGGAAACTTTAAGATTGCCTGGCTCACAGGATCTCCAAGTATACATGCTGTCCCTGTCAACAGTCTTGTAGACATTTAACTAATGATATTATTCAGTAAGGGAATGTCCTCTGGAGTGTCTGTCCTTGTATTACTAGAGTGGCTGCACAAGCTTATCTTCATAGGCTTCATGTTTCCAGTAAAATATAGGTCTTTTTTTTTTTTTTAAAGATTTTATTTATTCATGGGAGACACACACACACACACACACACACACAGAGAGAGAGAGAGAGAGAGAGAGAGAGAGGCAGAGACACAGACAGGGAGAAGCAGGCTCAATGCAGGGAGTTTGATGTGGGACTCGATCCCGGGTCTCCAGGATCAGGCCCTGGGCTGAAGGCGGCACTAAACCTCTGAGCCACCCGGCTGTCCCAAAATACAGGTCTTGTGATAAAAATAAGGAAAGGTAGAAAAGTACAGTTTGTAGTTTTAATATATTCTTTGTCTAGATATTCTGTTATAAGCCTGGAATGGAGGCAAGCAAATGTGGGAATCTGAGTCATTACAAATTATTTCTCCCTTCACTCAGTATTCAATTGGTCATCAAGTATATGTATTCAAGTCTATGCTACTACTGCTTTATTCCACGAAAATTAACACATTCTCCCATGTTTCCTTCCTGCCTGTCTGCTCCCTATCCAGTCATGCACACTGATGCCAGGGTAATCTTTCTGAAAAAAAACAAAACAAAACAAAAAAAAACCTTATCAGGTTACTTCTCTTAAAACTTATCAGTGGTTTCCTATTGAATCTTCATGTTAACTGTCCAAGTTCCTAGTGTACCATTTAAGATTTCTTCTTACAAGAGGACCATGCCATTCCTCTCCAGATTTATCTTCCCCATTCCACCATCACCTGTAAGCTACAACTCAGTTGCACTAAATTATAGTCAATTTCCAAAGAATGTCATACTGCTTTGTTTTTTTGTAATGTAGTTAACAAATTTTGTGCCTGAGAACCATTCAGGGAGCCAGGGATAGGGCAGGCTCCTATGCCCCATGCCCAGGAGTTTTGACTTAGTGGATTTGAGTTGGCAAAGATGTATGTTACAAACAGTGGTTCCAGATGATTAGGAGGTACACTGAGTGTGTCATACTTTGAGGAATGCTGGTTTATGCTGGTGGTTTTTTTCTTTTAGTTTTTTATTTTTATATTTTTACAATTATAGATATTTTTAATATTTATAAATATTTTATATTTTATTTTTTATTAGTTTGACTTAAAAAAGTTATTATGCATATTGTATACTGAATAAAAAATTAAAAGTATATAAAAGGGTAAAAACAAAAATAATCCAGAATTTCACCACTAAGTGATAATCAACTACCTTTCTGTTTCTTTGAAGTAGAAATAACTTAGTGAAGAGGTATGAACATGTTAATGGTCTCAATATATACTGAAAAATTACTTTACAAAGTTATATCAGCTTACCACCATCTCAGAATCTAAGAATGTATGCAAATGCCCAAGTCATTGGGTTTTAAATGAACAGAAAACAACTCATTTCTTTCTTATAATAAATTTATATCTCATCATTATTTTAATTGTCATTTCCAGGATTATTAATAAGGTTGACTCTTTAAAAATTTTATATATTTTCTTTCATTAAAGGTTAATACTTCCCTTTAAATTTAGCTTAAAATTTTTAACATAAAATATAGTTTAAATTTTACAATTTAATTTTGATCATGAAAGGTTTCAAATGAATTAGAAAATTACAGAAACTAGTATAATCAACCTAGTTTAAAAAAACATGATAGGAGTTTGCTAATTTATTTCAGGTGCTTTTTCTATTTTAATAGAGCTCAAGACTCAAAATGCACCTCTTTCTTATTTCCCCTCACTTTCATGAGAAGCTGCTGCCCCCCTGATGTTGGAGTGGATTCTTTCTGTGCATATTTTAGTGCTTGTATTATACATATAATAACCCACAGCAATATGAAGTATTGTTCTATGTGTTTTAAAGTTACTTAAATGGTGTCACACCATGTGTATCTATTGCCATCATGTATTTTTACTATTATGTTTTGGATATACCCTATAAATCC